CCTTGGTAGCTTCCCCTTGGCTCCACCACCTGTATGCCTTCTCTCTTGCCCTTAGGCTCCCCTAGACTTCTCTGTTTAGCCAAGGAAGTTTTTTTGGCTCCTTTCCCCCTTTTCACTTGTACTGGATTCATCTCCCTCTGTGCCTGAAGGATTGCTTCCTTTAGGAATGACTGCCCTTCCTAGACTCGCATCTTGCCAATACTCCCATCCTGCGGTATGTCATTGACTAAACTCCTAAGGGCACTAAAGTTAGCCTTCCTAAAATCAAGCACTTCCACCCTACTAGTTATCTTACCCATCCTACGCCATATGTTGAATTCAATTGGTTGGTGGTCACTGTCCCCAGTGTGACCACAAGTCTGTAGCTCCCCTACTAGGTCATCTCCTGTAGCCAACACCGGGTCCAGTAAGGCATTCCCTCTAGTGGGACCGTATACCTTCTACATTAGGTGAAGGTCCTGCATGCAGGTTAAGAACCTACATGAATGGTTGGATTTGGCTGACTGCTCCTCCCAGCAGATGTCAGGGTACTTTAGGTTCCAATTGACAACCACGTCCCTAGACTGTATGGCCTCCGAGAGCTGCCTCAAGCATTCTAAGTCTAGCTTTTCCTCTTGGTGTGGTGGTCTGTAGCAGACCCTCACCACCAAGTTCCTTTCCCCTTGACCTCCATGTATCCTAACCCACAATGCCTCAACTTTCTCCTCCTCTGCTCCCATTTTGCTTAGGGTAGATGTATAATGCTCCTTTACATAGAAAGCAACCCCACCCCCTTTCCTCCCTACTCTGTCCCTTCTGTACAACCTTTAGTCTTCAATGTGTACTTCCCAGTCATGGGTAGGGTCCCACCAGGTTTCTGTTAGCCCCACCAAATCAAAGTTATTATCTGCAAGCTGAAGTGTGAATTCTTCCTGCTTGTTTCCCATGCTCCTAGCATTAGTATAGAGGCACTTGAGCCCTCCGAATGGTTCCTTTGGTGCTCCCCCCCCATTCTTATGTCCAAAGGGCCCCTTAGTAAGTACTGGGATGTACTTTTGCATGTCTCACAGTTTGTAGGTTCTAGACTCCCTCCATCTCCTGTCTCCTTATCCCCTGTCAAACTTAGTTTAAAGCCCGACGAAGAAAGTCAGCCAACCTGTAAGAAAAGAGACTCTTACCTTTTGTGGAGAGATGAAGCCCATCATGTCCCAGGAGGTCCCTTGCATAGAAGTGTGGATCGTGGTCTAGGAAGCCAAAACCTGCACAATGGCACCAACTCCGGAGCCCCGGGTTGACTTCTCTGACACAGTTGACGTGATGCCTACTGCGACCACAGACTGGGAGGATCGACAAGAAGACCACCTGTGCGCCTCCGTCTTCCTAAGCCTGGTCCCCAGAGCCCTGTAGTCACTCGTGATACAGTCTGGACTACTCCTGGCTGCATCATTTATTCCCAGATGGATAAGGACCATGGGTAGTTGTCAGAGGGCCGGACAACTTATATAAGTCATTACTTATAAAAGTAGCTGTGAGTGTAGGGGTCTTTTAGATAGTATAACTTATACACAAGGAGACATTAGACTATGTAAGTTAAAGCAGGCCACAGGCTCCAACAACCTCCTCTCCTGCTGCTAAATGGCAGGAAAAACCTGAGGGTCTGCACAGCCCACATGGCAGGTAGCTACATGCTGACGGCAGGCAGGGGGACCATGTGGCACCAGCACAGGCTATGTGGTAGGGGAGGAGCATAGTACCAGTACAGACCGCATGGTGGTATCTTGGTGGCATCACTCGTGCAGCCTGTGACCCAGTGCAACCCCCAACCACACCAATGTTGGACATCCTTGAGTTAGAGCCTGGGCTTTCCTGGCCTAATGCATGTGGCCCCAGTAGCTCTACCTAAGGATGTCAAAGCTTAAGTTTTTATGTGCAGATGAAATTCCCTGTCTAAAGAGTAATGTGTAACAATCAAATAGGCACACCTGACCTCTGCTTACAAAGGTTGATTTAAAGGGCTGTGCTGAGGTTTGATTTTTATAACATGTTGTTACCCACACACATAACTCATTAAAAAGTCCTAAGGTTCAGTGAAAATACACTGTAAGGCCATTATCTATCATTGCTTTTGACTCTAATGTAATAATTTACAGGTAGAGTTGTCCCAAAATAAAAAAGCACAGGAATAAATATTAAAACAAGCATACAAAAACTTAAAATTTCCATCATGTAAGCCAGGAGCTTCCAACCTGTGGCACCATGCTACAAGTGGCAGGGGTAAACTTTGTGTGTGTCATGCAGCAAATCAGACAGGAAGCAGAAAGCAGAGAAGCAGACCACACAGAGAGCAGAGTAGCACTTAAATAGGCTGCAGGATTAATTTGTGGCCCACTTGCCTGTAAGGTTTTCTCCCTCTGATGTCCACTCATGCAACTCATTAAGTTTCCTTGTAGTGAGTGCTAAAGTTCAGGAGTAACAATTTTGTCTAGCAAAAAAGTAAATAAATCAATGCTTTCTAGGAAAATGAGCTAAAAGTTTATAACAAGAAGCTAACTGCACTATTACTTATGTTTAATAGAAATTATAAAATCATTTCAGGCTTTTTAACCTGAGCCATGAAGTCTTTACTACACATTAAAATGGAGACTAAACAATCAGAAGCCTACAATGAAAAAAAATTAAACCCCCTCTGTCTCTCCCCCCTCAATCAAATCCAGCCCTGGAACACTACATTGCTTCCTATTATCAATCAAATATTACATTTCTTAATAAAAAGTCTTGAAAAAATTGCCTTAAAAAAGATTTTGTAAAAGCCAAGTGATTAAGCGAATTTGGTTACCAGTGGCCATGTCTGCATGAGACACTGACTGCGCAGTAACTGAAGTTACTATGTGGTCATGCTGAGGAACAGCTTTTTTATGATGCTGACTGTGCAGTAGCTCATAACTACTGCATTGTAGCATCACATCACACTTTCTGCCGTGGAGTGCTACTGCACAGAAGTCATGGGCTACTCTGTGGTCAGCATCTCATGTAGACACAGCCCCTCTGATATACTTTTTCTGCTGAGCTTTCCACCTTTAATCCACCTACAGTAATGGCTTAAGTCATGAAAAATTATTTGCTACAAAGTTTTGTTCAGAACCTGTGGAATGTTGTGCATGGTTCCAACAAGAAATGAAGCATTATTATTTGTGCCATGGTGCCTAGAGACTTCCAGTAGTGTCAGTCTTAGCATATCAAATATACAATATTCCTCTCTATGTATCCTTAAGAGTGACTACTGTATATATGTATGGGATGTAGATAAGAATTACCTTCTTGGTTAGATATGTACACCCTTGTAAAAGGGAAGTGGTCTACATTAGCTCAAAAACCACTATCAGCAAAAAAAAAGTAGGGGGAGAGGGAGGGAGGGGGAGTTTATTTGCTTTTGTCAGCATTTAGTATTTGTATCTATGGGTGTATACACATGTACTAAATTTATTTAAAATATGATGACTTAACTAAGTCAACTTAATTTAATCTATGTTGGAGCATACACATATACAGCTCCTTGACATGGTGGCAGCCATATTGGCTGCAGACAGAAGTGCAGCTCCACGCTTTAATGGAGAACACTTTGCAGGAAGTGTTCTGAGTTACAACAATCCCCTGGACCAAACAGAAGTTCACTGTTGGTTCCAAGGGGGAGGGGAATCTAGCTGCCTGCAGCTGGTTTCCCCTAGCAATGGCCCTTCCTCCCTGTGAGCCTGCAAAGTTTTCAGAATGGGAGGGGGAAAAGGGAGCAGAGGGAGCTCATTCTATGGGTTTATAGCCAATTGGAGGGTGGGGTGGATGAATTGGAGCCTCCTTACCCTCACCTTGGCAACTAGGGCAGGGAGGCACCAATAAACCTGCTCAACCCTTCAGCGGGGGCTAAAACCCAGACCAAACTCTCTCTGGTTCCATTTCCCCCTCCCACTCTGAAAACAGCTTGAGGCTTGCAGGCAGCACAGACAGAAGTTACAAAAGACACTTTAATTTGAAATGTCTTCATCTGACTCCTCATGCAATAAGGGTTTATATTTTCACCTGATCAGCCATTTTTAAGCTATCTGCAGCCATGCATTTGTTTTTGGTTAAGGCTATAGACTGCATTCTGTGGCCAGATTGGGCAAAAATGATCACTTCTGTTTGTGCCCCTTGGGTGCATCTACACAAGACACTAAATGAGCTACTGTGCTGTAGCTCATTGCTACTATGCAGTAGTGTTGCCAAGCACTAACCATGTGATGCTACTGTACAGTACTAACAAGATACTGTGCAGTAGCTCATTGCTGCTGTGCAGTAGCATCAGAGGAAAAACCATGTGGCAACAGTACTGCACAGTAACTACACAGTAACAACTGTACAGTCCACTGCTCATGCAGTCCTTGTGAACTAAGTTGACTTAAGTAATGTGACTTAAGATAATACACTTCAGTGATATATTATCTTGTGCTGCATTCAAGTCGACTCTGCTCCACATACATGTGTATGCTCTGACAGTTAAGTTAGTATCTGTGCACTCAATAAGTGCACAACACAAATTTAAAATAAAATAGATGCTCAAAAAATGGCTTCTTCCCTTATCACTGCTGAGTTACTTTGGATTATTTCCTGTTTTTCCTCCTCCTTAAAAATGAAAACATTTTTAAAAAAAAAGAAAACAAAACAAACTAAAACGATTATATTGAAAAGGTAGGCGTGTGACCTGAGGATGGGTACCTGGTACCCAAAAAAGCACTTGTCTGTATCCCTCCCAACTTCACAGTTGGATCAATTGAAAATATCACATACAAAATTCCTTGCTGCTTGCTTTTTAACCTGGACCATCACTGCTGCAACATCACTCCAACACTATTGAAAAGATATATAATTGACATAAAAATCTTACATGAAGCAGTAGCGTGTGTGCTGTTTTTCTAAAGTATATTCTGTCTCAAAAGTAGCATACTGGTTTGCCGTAAAGGAAACTTCTTGGCACTGAAATTCAGAAACTTCTTGAATAAATCTATTAAGAATACTCAGTTTAATAGGTTTGCAACATTTAAAACTATCCTATAATTCTGACTTGAAAATATTTGGAAAAAAAAATAATACCAGTAAATATTGATCTCTCCATGGCCACAGATTCACAGAACTTCAGGGCTGGAAGCGGACTTTTGTGATGATTGGTTTCAGCCCCACTGGTCTGCGCAGGAAAGACTGCTAGGGTCAAACAACTCCAGCAATGTGTGTGTCCATTTTCCTTTTGAAAGTCTCCAGGGTATGTCTCTGCACTACCCCTGCTTGGGTCTATTCCAGAGTCTGGTCACATGAACTGTGAAGTAAGGGTGTGCAAAGCATTGGTCTCTGATTTAATTCAGAGAAGATTTGGTCCGATTTGGAGGCCAAATCACTGAATCTGAATCAAATTGGGAGACCAAAAAAACCCCTCTAAATCAATTCGGAGCCTCCGAATCAATTTGAAAAAGATTTCAGAAAAAGATTTAGAAATTTGGAAGTCAGTCTTTCAGGGGAACAGAAACTGAGAAGAGGGAGGGGAGAGTAGGAGGGGAAAGGTTGACATCTGTAGCTGCCCAGTGACTGTGATCTTTCCCTGAGTCCCCTTCCAATCAGAGTGCTCTCAGAGAAGGATGTAGAAACAGCACATAAGCCTCTGCCTGCAGCCTTTCTATCCCTTTTGTGAGCTGTTTCTGCCTGAGCACTGGGAAGGCCTCCTGTTACAGGCTACCATCCCTGCTGTTTTTATCCTGCTGTGCCTTAAGACACACACAATGTCACACGTCACGAGTTTGGCTTTCAGAAGCTTGAGGTGCAGTTTCCTAGAAACCCCTGCACCCATCTCCTTGAAATGTGGCAGGCTTCATGGCCTCAGAAGGGGCTACCATGCCTGCTGTTTTCACCCCACTGCGCCTTAACACACACACAAAGTCACACGTCACAAGTTTTGTTTGTCAGCACGTTGAGGTGCAGTTTCCCAGAAACCCCTGCACCCAACTCCTTGAACCTTGGCAGGCTTCATGCTCTCAGAAGGGGATACCATCCCTACTGTTTTCATCCAAATCTGATATGTTTGTAAGCTGCCACCAAATCCCCCTGAAGTCTTCTCTTTTCTAGGCTGAACAGTCCCATATCTGCCAGCCTTGCCTCGTATGATTTGCTCTTCAGGCCTGTAATCATACAAGTAGTTCTTCTCTGGACTCTCTCAAGTCCTGGATGCACAAAATAAGGGTAAAGTTAGCAATCTGCTCATGTAGATTTCCCAAATACAAGTTTCCCAGTTAAAGTTATGTCAATCATTGCACTTCAGTGATGCCAAAGCTTTGAAAGCCCCAGCCAAAAAACATTTTTTAAAGTATTGTTTAATGTTGAGAATACATATCAGTATGCTACTATATGTACAGAACACCATGGTTAGTAAATAAAAATAAAATTTTAAATAAACTAAAAATACAGTGAAATGGAGAATTAATGCTGGAAGAATGAGAATCCAAAGTGAAAGTGATCAGATTAATTTAACTCTGCCTTTTCCAATCGAGTGCTGAATATATGCACCAAACAAAACAGGCTTTAGACCTGATTACATGCCTATGTGCGTCTTCTCTGAAGTGTGTTTTTCAGTATCATGTTACTGAGAGTCCATAGTATCCTTCCACTGTTTGAGCCTGTAATGAAAAGTAACCAAGCTGTTTGTCTAGTCAGGTGTATCTTCCGTTGTTCTGTTTTTCTTTTCCTTTTGATGCTGCATTGTGACAAAGATGGCTGGAATTCACCCCTTGCTTTGGGCTAGGTCATGGTAATAGTATTAAGACCTTAGTAAACTGTGGTGTTGTGGAACAAATATGATGAAAAAGAAGAGAACACTTATTAAAGCTACCTAATTGCAAGAGGAAGCTTGGTGTGCTACCTGTCTCCTTCAGAGTGCAGTTTCTTCTCTTACTGTTTGTGAATGTGGAGGGGAAGCAGGGCTGTGGCTGCAGCTAGTTCCTGATCCTTTATTTATTTATCGGTGAATTGCTTTTAATTAGAGCAGCTCCTCTACTTCCCTGAAGTGTAACTTCTGGTTGCCCATTCAGTAGCAACCACAGTTCAGCATTTTAGGTCTAAAAGTAAAGTTTTCTAGATTTAAGGTCATCAATTAACTGAAACTTCTTGGTTTGGGTGAGTGAAATAGCTTGAGTTAATTATTTCCTCTGAGTATCCATCTATGGTACTTTTATGGCACCCTTATTACAGTATCTGAGTGCTTCATGCTCTTTGCTCTATTTATCCTCACAACACCCATGTGAGATTGGGAAGTCCTATTACCTCATTAGGCATCTGGAGGACTTAAGCATCAAAAGATTAAAGCCCAGATGTACAATGGCATTTAGGTGCCTACGTCCCGTTGCAATTAATCCGAGTCCAAATCATTTCTACATCTCCAGTGCACAGATCTGGAATGATGTACCATTGCTATATTTTCCATATTCAAGTCTGTAATGATACCTGTACTAGGTAAGGTGTGCATGTCGGGGCAGGGGGGAGAGGAATCGGAGGGGTTATGTTTGGGGTACTGGAAAAGTTAATACAGCTCTAATTATTATAAAGCAGTTACCATATGAAAATATCCCTGAGCTTCTACTTTACTACAAAATAGCAAAGATGTCTTGGAACTGAACATTTAGGACAGGCTGTGCAATGGTGTATAACAGTCTCAGGCATTGAGCCTTTTAGGACTAACACATAGTTTCACAGACTTTTGCTTTCACAAATTAATACTGGTTGAGGCTGTTTCTCATCTGACACTGTCTCTTTGCATTTCTCCTTTAGAGACAGATAAATAGAAAATGTAGCAGATATAACGTGCATCATGCATTGTTACAATCTGCCTTAATTTATTCCACCTGTTTTATAACTTTATTTATTTATTTATTGGTTTTCACAGGGTTTTTTACTCAGATTTCTACCTTAGCCGATGTACAGGAAAATGTCATGGAATATCTCCATGTTCTTAGTCGACCAAAGGTGATTGACCAGGAGCATGATGTGGTATGGACTGAAGCATATATTGACAGCACTGTAAGTCCACATGAGAAAATATTTCATATATGCTCACAGCACAAAATGAGGATTTAGAATCAAAGGTCTTTTTGTGGATAACAAAGTTAGTTGTGAATTTGATTTCCATTATCTGAATGTGCCCCTGCACAGATTTTGACTTCTGTATGGTTTGCATTAACTAACTCCAGGTAAAGCACTTAGGAGGTATTTACATTTTCAAATAACTTAGCAATTAGAAGTTAAAGCCTAATATGTAGTGCCATCACTGTCTTTATGACCATCAGATGTGTAGTTTGTTTGTCAGGAAGTGGAGTATAGATTACCAACTCTGAGTAATCGTTGTTTCCAAATGCTTTTCAAAATAGGTAAATAAAACTATATCAAATTACAGTCTTCCAGCAATCATTAATATGTCTATTGTGAAAATTAGGCCAATGGCCATATGACTACTGTAACGCTTTACAGAGAAAGATATTGAAATGCTGCACAAATTAACATTTAAAACAAGACAAACATATTGTCCTGATGGAATCTGGTGACTTTTCACCTTATTGTTGTATAATTTTTAGTTTAAAGCTTTGGGAACAGTTAGTTTCAATGCACATTTTCTATTTTGGAGAGAAACAGCATACTGTTTTTAGAATATATTTTTGGTAAGTTGCATCTGATCTTTGATTTCAGTAGTTCTATCAAGATTTCTTTTTATCTTTTCTGTTTTCTTTTCCTCATGTGCCTAATTAGGAATAAGAAACTATTACATATATTGTTCATGCACCTGGAGATTTAACATATTCTTAATTTAGTGCAAATATTTAGTGCTGTATATTGATTATGAATAATAGAAAATTACAGGTCATAATCAGCAAAAATCATTTATTGTTTTAACTGTTTTTTCAACCCTCATAAGAACAGGGCAAGCTGAGAGAACCCCAGCAGGTGAGCTCAAACTCACTTTTTCTTTAAAGAAAAAAAAGGTTTAAACTTTGCCAGAATGCGACACCTCCAGCAAATTTAAATTCAAATCAAAAGAAATTCTTCCTGAAAAAGTAATAATTACAAATGCTATTTTATTTCAGTCTTAGATTTACTTAAGTCTTTCCTTTTTTATTCCTTAGTTGTGGTGTTGGATCAAATAATGGAAAACAAAGATGAACTACAGTTACTATGGAGAAACAAAACCTCATTTGGAAATGTTGTCCTGGAGGGAATTCACTTATTTCATATTTCCTGTTTGTTTGTTTCTTTCTTTGTTTGTTTGAGGCAGATTTATTCCTAAGTAGTACTTAAAAAGCATAGGTTAATCCATACTCTCCCTCATCCTCTTTTCACTGAACCAGAAGGCAAAAATACTTATTCTTATAGTCCCTTTATTCAAAACATTTTTTGAAAAGGTAGAATTTAAATTTGTGCCTTTTTGGTTCTTGTGCATTTCTTGCTTTCTTTCATACACTTTAAGTAATCACTAGACTTGTTTGACATGTCCATTAACATTTCCTCTTTGAATTTCTGACAGTTTTTTGGGAAAACTCTCTATAAATGATGTCTTGGAGGTCAACTCTTATTCTCATGTTTGTCACTCTAAACTTGGATAAAACTGCTGTTTTTTCTCTTTTCCTTTCTTTCAACAAAATCTGGTTCAAAATGCTGTTGTTGAATAAATTTTATGTTGTACACTGTAGTCCCCATTTCTTTCATGATTTGAGAGGAGAAAAACTGGAAAGGTTAGCTTAAAGTTCAATACTTCTCCTCTAGATAAATAGAGATGAGTGGAAAGCATTGCATATAATGGATAACCAGTAAGAAGTAGGTAGGTAGCAGTGGCACTGGGTTTATGAGCTAGATACCTTGTTCTGGGCAGACCCAAACCTTCAGACTGACCACAACCTCTCCATTTGATAATAGGCAAATTTTATTGATACACAGTTGTGGCAGGGCACTTTTGGGTACCAGTTTCCTGGTGAGGGGATAGAGGCAGAGTCAGCCCAGTGGCTGGTCACCATCCAGATGAGGGTCATGGAGGGCCCGAGAGGCTGTGTGCCAGCCAATCAAGGAATGAAAGTAGGCAAGCCTAATGGCCTACGTGGTTGCTTGAGGGAGCAGGGCAGGTTGGGTGTGACCCAGTGAGGGGCAGCGTGCAAGAGGCCCAGTGAGAGAGGACAGATTGGAATAGGCTCCAGTGGAGGGGGAGAGGGGCTCTATAACTGTGACCCCAAATAGGGTACTATGTGAGAGGCCCAACAATGGAGTTTGGCCTGGCCTCAAGCCGGAGCTATAATAATAAACTGGATCCCATCTGCAAGCCATGGGATATGATAAGGGAAGGTCACAGTCATGTATAGTGGTCTCTGGCATCGGGGAATTAAAAATGGGCATTCTCCTGTATTCTACACCGGTTTGATAAAACAGCAAGTTATGGCAGGTGAGACTGGGTGAACTGCCCCATATAGACAGGTGGGTGGGCCAATGCTGAGACCTGGCCTTTAGTTGGCCCCCTGTCACAACAGTAATGGCAGATAAGAAATATGTAAACAATTCTATATCTACCAGGGCTTAAAGGGTCAAGGTATGTCTGGCCAGTAGGCAAGCTTCGCTCTGAAGTTTT